TTTTGGAAAGACTGTCAACTGCTTGGTATGCAGTAGAATACTGCATGTGTTATGATCTATTTAAAATTATATTTTATTTATTTCTGTATAATATTGTGGACACGTGTCTCAAACACGTTCATGAAGATCAAAGGACAACTTTGTGGAATCAGTTGCTTTTCTCCTTCCACTCTTGGTTTCTGGGGGTGGAATTCCTGTTCCCAGGCTTGCGCTCTAGTGTCTTCACATACTGAGCCATCACATAACCCAACAAGTGAATATGAAAAGTTCGAGGTTTATTAATGTAACAGACAAATGATTTCTTTGCCTGTTGCTCACATAGAAAAGTCAACACACAAAATTTCTAGTTATATTAAAATCCCAAAACTTTGGCTTATTAAGAAATATAACCCTGGCCTAGGGAAAGGGCACAGGGGGAGAAGATGGAGGTGGGTAGAATGGGGAGGAGACAAGGGAAGGGGCTGCAGCGAGGATACAAAGTGAATAAATTGTAATACATAAATATATAAATAAAATTAAATTAACAAAATTATACAGTCCTGTTGTGATAAAAAAAAGTTGGCATTAATGCCCTCTTGTCTTTCATTTCTCCATGATTTCCGAAGAGAAGAGAAAGTGCGCAAAATACAGTGATGTACCCAAAACAAGGCAAGTACTGCACACAAAGCCTGGTAGGGAGGTACAGCATTTTCATTGCTGCACGCCGAAGTCCCAAAGGCTTATAAGCCAGGGACCATAGTGTTGGCAAAATTTATCTGATCACCAGAAGGTCTCTGTTTGGAAGCCAACTTACTTCTAAAGGGAGAAAAAGAGTGCTTTGTTTTCCCATGATAAAATGATCAGGATGCCATTCCCATAGGTCAGCTTCTAGAATCTGGGTTGTGGTCCATTAAAATGTGACTTCACTTTCCACTTTGAGAGGAGTCAATTATGTCAAAACTTAGTTGCCAGAAAGAAACTTTCCCTTAAATCTCATGATTCTGTTCTCTGGAATATTGATTGCGGTCATGGGGTCACCTTCAGTTGTGCAAATTAATGAGGTCTCAAATACCTTTATTCACATGCCCTGTTTTAGATGGGACTTTTGGAAGTTTGGTGCCTGTTTTCCGTGCTCCGTACTATTTGAGTCTGGGGTCTTTCTTCAGTGATTCTCGGACCCTAGCACATGAAGGCTCTCCCTCCATCATCTAATCACCTCACTATACCCCAAAAGCAAAGACTTGGGGTTTTGTATCTCATCATACAAATTTGAGGGAACCTATGCACCAGTCCATACATGTCCTAAAAACTCCTGTTGGCTCAAAATGTATTCATCTATAAAATGAATGAAAATGTATTCATTTGTAAGACCATTCTTTTGTTAACTTCTCCATGCAAGCTGTTGTTGCTGTTGCCTGAATCCTGGGCCCGCTAGAGAAATAGTCCCCCTCGTGTGCAGCTTGGTAATATCTCCTACCCTTTTAAACTCTGTAATTTTCATGGGACACTGACTGAAGACCCAAGTGAGAGAATACATGCAACAAGTGTAAGCATCAGTGGGTACTACTTGTTATAAATAAAAGACTCCTAAAAACAGTATCTGCAAAAGTCAGCCTGTGGGGACATAAACACACAAGGGAGGCATTTCTCATGAAAAATCTTCTCAGTCTTTTGCTGGCCTGATAGCACCTCCAGCTTCTACCCACAGAATAGCCAGCCTAGTCACAAGCTTCCTACCCCTCTCATACCACATCAAAGGAGAACTTAGAAACCAGTTTGAGTTTTGGTAGGCGGCTATTTCCTACATCATAAGCAACTGGGCCATGAACATTGAACAAAACGATAACTTCTTTTCCAGTAACTCTTTGTACATCGCTTTCCTCCCTCCCCCCGGCATTTCATCCTACAAATCCAGGCAAGCTAATACAATCACCTTAACATAGATTTATCTATTTATTAATCTGTGTGTGCTTTGTATGTGACTGAGCACATGTACAACTGGTAGGGCTCTGCCCTCGGGATCAAAGCCAGGTTTTCAGGCTTGGTGTCAAACACTCTCACCCAGGGGCCATCTTGCTACTCCTCCTTTATGCTTTAATTTAATTTCTGATTCAAATCTTTGTTCTAGTGGCTGGGAAATAAATCTAGTGAATTGGAATATTCATTCTTTCTTCTGGACTGAATGTTGTCAAATCCCAGATATTCATTTTAGTTTTGTTATTATAATGTTCAAAATATATATTTGTAAAAACTTTCAAAATCCTCTCATATCCTAATATGTTTACATAAGAAGCTATATGTAAAAGGCAAAAGATTTATACAATCTGAGGAGAAACCAGAATATATGGAGATAACTTAGAACCCCTGCTCAGCTGTAGTCCATGGTAGCTCAGTCTCCAAGTGGGTTCCCTAGTAAGGGGATCAGGAGCTGTATCTGAGATAACTCAGTAGCTGGCTTTTTGATCACCTCCTCATAGGGGGAGTGAAGCTGTACCAGGCCACAGAGGCAGACAATGTAGCTAGTTCTGATGAGACTTGATGGGCTAGGGTCAGATGGAAAGCAATCAGTGGCCTAGTGGAGGGGCATAAGAGGAAAAGAGGGAGGGAGGGTTGGGACTGAGAGGAGAGGAGGGAGGAAGCCACAGCTGGGATACAAAGTGAATAAATTATAATAATTAAAAAAATAAATTCAAAAAATAAAAAAGAGAAAAAAAATCAAAGAGAATGAGATGGTTGTGAGCTGGCATAAAATCAATAGAATTGCAAGCATACCACAATTATAATTGATTGTGTTGATTAGTAGTTTACAAGTTCTGATAGTGGGCGAAAATAGATTTCCTTCATCAGGACATATCTATTTGTGTGACAATGGAATGAGAGAACCAACAAAACAATAATGATATCTAAAATATAGCACACGGAAAGAACACTTCTGAGGCAAAAGATAACAAACTGAAAATACAACTGGAAAATGAAGTCTATTGTGAGATTTGAGATTTACATGGTGAATTAACTTTCCACAGTCATTGCTTTGAGTAACACACTGGAACTGTAGTACATATTTTGCTTGAGTAATCAGTTTTAACAAATTGCACAAAGCAAACCTAATAGATAATTGATTATGTCCACATAATAAAAACATCACTGAAAGATGAAAAAAGAAGCTATATGTAAATTAAAGCTGCACATATTTTCAATAATGACATTTTTAAAAATAAACTTTGGTTATTACAGTTCTTGTAATCATGACTTGAAACTCAGAAACTTCAAGAAATTGTTATGTCTGACTAAATACTAATCACACAGTAAGCAAAACTTGTGTTCTGGATATAAAAAAAAAACCATTGTCTTAAAACACACGTAAAGGATAATGAACTAATTAAAAAATAAGTTAAAAAATGATATTTGAAATCAGTACAAGCATTTCTTACACCAGGCATATTGTTTTTGGCTGAAGACTATACAGCTCCTTGAAATTTTTTCAGTGATTCAGCCTACGTATCAAAATTAGTGTAGTGGGGACATTTGTTCACTGATGACTGATCCTGTTAAGGATGAATATTCTCCATATAAAATAGGGAATCCTGAACAATGAGGCATAGAGGGGAGCTGGAGAAACGGCTCAGTCAGTAGAGTGTCTTTAGGGTAAGATTGCGGACCTGAGTTCAGATATGTAACACGAAGCTGGTACCATGGCAAGTCTTTGTAACCCTAGCCCTGGGAGGCAGAGGCGGGCATCTTGGAAGCTTCCTGGAAAGCTAACCTTGCCAAATGGGTGAGCTCAAGATCAATGAAACACCCCGCATAAAAAAGCAATTTGTTCAACAACTGAGGAAGGTATATGATGTTTATGTAAAACTTCCAAATGTACACCTATACACACACAAGGGCACACACACACACACACACACACACACACACACACACACACACACATACATAGGAGTGCAGGTACACTTTACACAAAATTAATCAGAATAGTGAGAATTTTCTATAATTGTTCTCAGGGTTCTGTCTGGTGGCAAATACTATATTGAACAATGTATTACAATGCATTTTGGAAACTCAAAGTAAGACACTGTTACCCTAGTGTATATTGTTGTGGTGACTGTTATTTCTTATCAAATATGAGTTGTAACCCTAATAGCAACTGGGTGAGACTCATTAATACTCTTCAAATAAACAGTATTTTTATTGAACTTTTTAAGTAAGGGAGAGGTTGGAGGGAGAGGATATAGTGTGTGTGTGTGTGTGTGTGTGTGTGTGTGTGTGTGTGTGTGTGATTTCTAGTGACATTTTCCCTCATTATGACACTGCCTGGTATATTAAAATTTAATTAAATAAATTGAATGTGAGAATATATAAAGTGACTAGTTTTATTTTTAGATTGTTAATTTCTTCTAACATTTGAAGTGGATTCTGAGATGGGAGGATTAAAATTGAAAAAGAAAACTTTATGGAGCAAACAATATTAATAATTCTTCACCCAAGTATATAGCATTGGAAAATGGACAACTTAAAAATTTGGGGTTGGGTTAAATATTAGCTCATTAAGGTATATTTTATAATCTTTAATAAAGAATGACACCAAAGTGTAAGTGAATTTTCAAGCATTTTGTTTAGCTGAATGGCTGACTAGTTAAGAGTTGATACTGAGTTTTCTGCCTTTGACGGAAGAGTTACAAGAACATTTTCCAGTTGTGACATATTAGATCATGGTCTACCTTAATCTAACTTTCTTACAGGATTCAGTCTTAGTTACTAAGAAACATTCTTATACACAGCTCTGCTATATGCCAGGCACATGGCCTAATTCATGTCTATAGTAAATTATACAGTTGGAGAAAAACTGAAGATGATGTTAATGTGTTTAAAGGTGTTGCTACTTAATTATGAAAGAATAAACTTTATATTGGCTATGATTTCAATTTGTTAAAATACAAATTTAAAAGAAAAAATAATGCTTTATTATTTGAATGTTGAAGAATGTAAAAATCAAGTTAAAGTTCCATGCAGCAGAATTTAGGTTTTCATATTGATCCAAAGGAAATAGGCTTGTATTTGTTATAAACACAATGATCTTGTATACTTATACCAAGAGTAAAACTCAGTTATTTGTCTGGTTAAACATATTTTTATTCTTTTAAATAAATAATATCTGTGAAAAAGTATAGCAACATGCAAAATTAACACCCATTATGTGTTTTTTCTATTAACTGAGTAGATAAGGGCTAATGGGTTTTCGTGATTCTATCAATTAGCTTTAATAAATATGTGATTTTCATCATGTTAATTTATGCCAAGCTATTAAATTAATGAAAGTGTTGAGGTACATCATTCATTTTACATGTTGTACATTTATCTTCTAAAAGAAGTGAATTAAAAATTTAGACTCGGACAATCATATATTTAATAGTATATGATGATGCATCATCATTGCATACACCTTCTCATCCTGGAAATTCACACATTCACTATGTCCTTCCCACCCTTGCTGGCAAAAGTAGAACGTAGATACTGATACCATCAGCTCATTACAAACAATAAATGTTATGTATAGCAATATGCCGAATAAAATCACAGAAAGGGTGAATAGTCATATGCATTCCATTTAAGCATATGATACTGAGCATATGGCAATTATTTTTCCTTTGGTATCACGTGGTCTATGAAATCAACCTGATAGTGACCCTCAGAGATATCATGTTAGACATAACAGGTAAAGTGTCAGGTACAAAGGGAACTGAAACCTCCTCACTACATCCATTAGAACACATTGTTTTTAGTTATGCCCATTACTTCTTTCAAGTAACCTGCAGATATACCTATGAGGCTGGCCCACCTGTGGCTGACAGCCTTTGGAGAGACTCTAAGGAGAGCATGGAGCTTAACAGTCAAGGGTTTAGTGAGTGGCCTTAGAGTTTAGTGAAATTTCATCCTCAGCACTGAAATAAGATGATGTAAAGTGTATTCTTCTTGATAATGGGCCAAAAGCAACCTTGCAAATACAAGAGTAGTACATTATATTACTGTTGAAAGGCTTTTATCATCCAAGTGCAAGAACAGCAAACTGAATAGCAAATCACAGAGTCATATTTCCATATATTTGAAAAAGAAAAAGACAAGATGGCCAAGCAATTGGTCATTTGTTACAACAGATTCTTTTTTCTAGAGAGAGTTGAGGGCAGTGCTGATACAGATCACTAGAATCTTTTCTTCTTTTTACATTTTCGGCATTTTTGGCTACCTCTCTTGTCTTCTGAGCTACTGTCGCTGTCGCTGGCTTGCCTTTGCCTCTTTCGTTTATTCCTATGATATGGGTCCGGGTCACTTGGTTGTTGGTGAGTCCATTCATAGGAGCTGGGTCCAGCCTCTAGGTCTGAAGCGTGATTTAAGGAGCAAGGCCCAGATGCACAGTTGGGAAGTGGAGCTGCCATGTCATAGAAAGGAGGCTGCAACACTGGAGTTTGTGTGTGCCACTGTTGTGAAGGGAAGACACTCATGAACACATACTCAAAATGCTAACAGACATTAGCCCCTCGCATGCGCTTGGAGGCATCCATGGGTAAGCCAAGCTGTATCTGGGTGTGGAATGCGCAGAGGTTTAGGGTGTTTCTTTTTCTGGTTAACATGAACACAAAGATTAAAGGTGCCATGTAGTGTACCACCACATTGATTACCAGTGAGCAGCAGAAGTATTGTGCAAAAATAAACAGGTGAGTTGTAAACACAATATAAAAGATAACAAAATAAATAAATGAAGTAGCACATTTTTACAGAGCCCATGGCCTTGCTCTTGATAGGCAGGCAGTCTCCAACTGAGGTATATCTCCTCGGAGGGCCACAGTGTTTCCTACCTGGAAATTACTTGATTTAATGTAGATTTACAGCAGCTTTTATAACAGGTAAAAAAGAAGTGCACTACCAGGCTCTGTTTGCCTCAGATATACATAAGAACGTCCTGGTGTGTGATTTAAGTACTGATTTTAAATTTTAATGAAAACAGGAAGCTTTTTAGATGCAGGTGAACCTGCAAGGCTAAGAACTCCCAAGCTGTAAAAAGACACAGCTGTCAGTCTTTGGGACTCTGTGATGCTTCCTGTGTTTTAACAAGTTAACTGAACTTCCTGCCCACGTGACTGGGGTAGCAGGAGACACTTTTCTGCTGCAAACCCAGCTAGAACAAAAAAGTAAAAGATTCCAGGGAGACATTGTGGTATTGGCTAAGAATTCCTAGCTATTCCCTGACTTCTTACTAACCGCAGCTGGATGTTTTTTCAAAACAAAACAAAACAAAACAAAACAAAACAAAAAAACCCAAAAGCTTACATAGATGTTGGGTATTCACATAAATAACAGCCTCTGAAACAAACAAACAAACAAACAAACAAACAAACAAAACAGTCTCATACTTGTCACTAGCAAACTTATACTCTTGGATTTTGTGAGCAATAGGGCAGGACTTACACTATTTCACCTATAAAACAGCTGTGAGGAAGGTATTCTAAAATCAAATACAAGATTAAGATATTTAGGCTATAGACAAACTGTGGAAAGCTTAAAAAAATGAGGTAGTTCCTTCTAGTAACTGAGACCTTTCTCAAGTGGCTTTTAGAACACAAAAATACTTAAATGTGACAGACAGCATCAGATACAAATATTATAAACTGATTGAAAATATTTACACCTAGGAATGTTTTTAAAAATGGTCACTTTGATGAGAATTTGACACTCAAGTGTAACTTTGGTTACTTTAGTCACCTGCTCTTCACTGCTGAGCCCAAGCAATTCATTGAAATCCTACCTACACATAGCATTTCTCATGACCCTGTCTGAGCACATGCTGGAGCACATTCTGTGTTGATAGCAGGTTTATATTTTAACTCCAAATGTTAAGAATGGCTCTTTTGTTCTTATTTATTGTAAATTACATGCAGAACCAATGTATTTCACTTACCATTTTCTGAAAGAAAAAGTACTCTTGAGGTAAGGCCGCATTCGCAATTGGGAAAAACTGCCTGGGAAAGGAAGATCTTCCCACCATTTCATCATGCCTTTGCAAAAGAACAGAAAAAGGACACCTTAAAATTCTTAGGTACAAATGTCATTTTCTCACTAGAAAAATCAGTGACAGCTCTATGTCAGTATGTAGAAGAGAAGACTTTTCTGGGACCCTTTAAGATGAATGACTTGAACACAGAAATAATGAGTTATTTTACTTTTAATACAATGACAGTATTACATTAATCATTTAATTATAAGGTATTGAAAGCACAATATTTACAATTGCATTTTATTTTCTATACAGAACATGTTGGATCATGCTGTAATTAAAGAAAGGAGTACTCAGATATTAATATAACAAGCAAGTGACTTGCAATCACTATGGGAACACCAGTTTTCTACAAATAGGGTGGAATTTTTGCCATTTTAGTTTTTAAAATATCTTTACAGTTGAACTAAAACATTCTGTGCTTATAATGATGCTTTAATATACTCATGATGTTTAACATTAAGATAACGAAAGTCGACACTTCAAAAAACATGCATTTGAATACCTGAAGCTTTGTGAATTTATCTTAGCACAGCTCTCAAAACTTTGGTTGGCTGGTTCAGAAGTGCGGGAACTTCCTTTAATGAGACAGAATTAAAGAAAACAAAACATAAGGAAATATTATTTCACAACACAAGTACTTGGAGTTTGAACATTATAACATTAAGTCGTAAAGCCATCCCAAACCCCCAATCTGGTGGTTCAGACTGAGGCAGGAGGACCCAGCGCTTCAGATTAGCCTGGGACACTTATAGTGAGATGTTATTTAATAAAAACCAAACCAAGACAAATATAAAAACCTTATTCTTTTTCTGTTTTGTTTTTGTCCTTTAAAAGACAGGGTTTCTCTGTGTAGTTCTGGCTGTCCTGGTCTCAAAAACTCAGATAGATCCGCCTGCCTCTGCCTTCCTAGGATTACACGTATGGGCTTACTCTTTTAAAATATACTATTGACTAAAAATTCTGTACTCGTGTAAGACAGATACATAATTTATATCTAGAGTCATATTTATAGATTATTACATATGATTAAAATGATAGGGTAAAAATTATACTTTTCCCCCAAACCATGGACAGTTATGAACATTATATAGGCTATGAAAGATATGTAACATTGTTTGATTACACATTGCAGTAAACTAAAAATTGCACATCATCATTTTCACTTGTTCATAGAATATAAGATATCATTTCCCTAAACATCACAGACAAGAGCCATCTCAACTTTTCACAGGATGTGTCAAAATGCAACACAACCAAGTTAATTTTACTAATTGACAGAGAGCTGGGCAGGGATGGGCACAGAGAAAGGCAGACAAAATTTCCTTTTGAAAGAAGACATGGTTTTTCTTACTGATGACTTTGGTAATCAATAATAATAAGTAATAATTAATAACAACAATAATAATATTAGTAAGCCAGTACCCAGAGTTACTTAGAAGGCCTCTATTAGTCCTTTGAGCCTGCGAACATTTTCTGGGCTTTTCATTATAAATGACTGGTTCATGACATGTAACAGATGTCCTTTGGGGCTTGTGAGCTTTAAATTGATGCCCTAGCAATGTGCATAGGATGGTTTCCCAAGAAAAACTAAGTGGGAAGGAGTTTCTTATAGATGATAGGAACTTGAGCAGTGTCAACAAGATAAAGCAGTCTTGTATAAAGTTTAGAGTTATTTGTTTCTAATTCATATAAATTTTCAAATAACTAGCAACCTTTATAAGCACTACTTGGTTCATTCTACAAAAGAATTTTAACAGCTTTAATTTAGAACAGATGTGTTGGCTTTGGTTATATAGTAGGCAGTATCAATTGATTATGCATTAAACATTAGGTATGTTCTTTGAAAAAAATAACTATGATAACAAAGACATTTTATTGTCCTACAGCAGTGGTTCTCAAGTTGCGGTCACTACCCCTTTAGGGGTCGCATATCAGATATTTGCATTACGATTCATAACAGTGGCAACATTTAGCTATAAAGAGCAATAAAATAATTTTATGGGTGGGAGGGTCACCACAACATGAAGAACTGTATTAAAGAGTCACAGCATTAGCATGATTGAGAATCACTGTCCTACAATACATAGTAGACAAAATGGTGTAGCCCCTGAGGACAGGACTAGCAAAGCTCACTTTGAATATTGATTGCTGAGAGAACTTACCAAACCGATACTGCACATTAATTGGTCTTCCATATAAACGAATTCCATTTAGCAAAGCTATGGCATAAGACACGGATTCAGGATGCTTGAAGCAGACAAAGCCAAAGGACTTCGGCTTTCCATCTCTGTCTTTGCAGAGAGTCACTTTGGTTAGTGGCCCGGCCTGTAAGAAACTTAAAAATTATTTTCTCATAAATCCAAAGATTTTGTTTTTACACTAAATTAAATCAAATAGATTTATGTTTGACTAAAATAAAGAACAAATAGCTCCACAAATAATGCATCTTCCTAAAAAAAAATAACACAGCTATGAACTCTTTCTAACCTATCAAAACATTAATGGAAAAGGAACTTATGGATTATAGATTATATTAAAAGGAAAGATTATCCTTAGTTTAGGCTTTACAAATTAACCCAGAAACTTTCTGACTCTCACACTAAAATACTTCTACTTCTCCACACTTATTAGCAGTATTTAACTGAAAAGTAAATTATAATGAGGAAAATAATGTTGATTGAGTTACAGTCAAAAAGGATGGTAACATGACATCATGGGTTCATTTCTTCTGTTAAGAAACTGTAAAAAGTTCTCTGAAAAAAATTTACAGTGATGACAGAGACACTTTTTGTTGTCCTACACTATATAAAAAAATACAATGCTTAAGCTCACTTTGCAAAGATTCACTTTAGTTAGTGGCCATTGAGCCTAAGTCTCAGTGGGTAAAAATGCTTCCATTTAGATGTAAGAACTTGAGATTGAATTGTCAGAACACAAATTGATAGAAGCTAGAGGCCCAGCTAGCCTAGAGTGTACAACAACAACAAGAAAAAAAGGTCACAAACAGAAGGGAAAGTCAAGAACCAATATTGGAAGTGTTCTCTGACCTCCACAACGGTATGGTGGAACTCACACATCCATATTCATGTACATTAATTATGTAAACATACATGTGTATACTACACAGTGTTTATAAGAGAAACTAAATCCATTATGCATTTTGATGTAGTAACACTGCTTCATAAATATGCCCCAAGGAAATTTACTTTATTATGTTTAAGATCTAGCAGAGTGGGTAAGCCATTCATAAAAGTGAACAAATAAAAAGTAGCAACTAGATATATTATTCCATGGTGAATTATTCAAACAGAATAAAGTACAACAAATTGTAAGTTTCTAAATATGTAGCTACAACAATGTGAAATAAGTAACACAAAGCAAAGAAACAAAGCCTAATATTAGAGAACACTGTTAATCACATCTGAGGGAAAAAAATTGTATCAATCAATTGCCATGATTAGAGGATATATTCATAAAGATCAGAACTTATCTAGAGCTGTATACTTTAATAGTTACTTTTCTTCATGGACTTGAATAAATACGTAAGCATGTTTTTTAAACCACAAGAAAGTACTTCCATCCTTATAATGGTGCTGTGCTTTGGACTTCCGTCTTTGCTCTCTGAATGCTTTGCTCAGGTAGTTCATGTTCCTTTTGTGTGAATAGGCTGAAGCTAGCAAAAATGATTTCCCTATTGCTGCCTCTTCTAAGAAGACAGCCTTTTGAGATGCTGTGTCATGGAACTTCACACTCAATAACACCTTTGAAATCACAACCTCAGTCTACCCTTCCTAAGCCTATACTCTAGTATTTCTTGATTAAAAGGACAAAAATATAAAAAAAATGTTTGAATTTAAAAAAGGATATTCAGAAATTTGAAATAAATTATTAAAATCGAAATAGTAGTAAAAGTAAAATGACTTATCCCATTTTCTGAGTTTTTTCTTTTGGTAACATTAAATAAACAGTAGCATACACATATAAGATTTATTTATATACATATGCCAAAATTATCATTTCCTGAGTGCTTGAGACTAGAATCTTAAGCAAATGCTGACCATAGAGCTATGCTCCTAGCTTTTCCATAGCATTTTCAGATCTATGGAAGGTACTGATATCAACAAGTATCGCATTTATACTTCTTTTAACATCAGAATGAGGCATTTTCAGGGCAGCTGCAAGTTATTCTAGGTTTTGCTCATGTTGCTGACATTGAGTCTTTCAAAAAGGATACTTTATGTTAACAATTTTTTCCTGGCAAAATGAAAACATAGGCTTACTGTCTGGCCCTTTAAATGGGATTTAAATTTTAATTAAGTGGGAAAAGGAAATCACAAAAAGAAACAGGGAGATAGTGTATATTGCCTTTTGTATGCTCATGACTGATGTGGACCTAGTACTAGGCTAGTACTAGGCTAGACAGGTCAGGTTTTAGGGGATTTATAAACCCACAGGCCATCTCTCCTCACTTGAAGGAGAGCCTTAGAGTTTAAAGAAGAATGCTTTCTGGAGGAGCTAAAATTGCTCCAGTCCCAAACAATGAGCTTCAGATCATACTGGGTCACACACTAGATAATGGCATTTTTAGAAGGGACATTTTAAAATGACAACGGGTAAAGATAAAAGTATTTAAAAAAAAGTCTTTACTTTTTTCAAATAATAAAATATTTAATGTTTAGGAGGAGAGATATTCTGCAGAGAATCCTGGCTATGTACCAAGTCCTTAGCATCTATGGGTAGTAAACATGATCTTAAGTTTAAGGACAAAGTACGTCCTTTAAACATAAAACAAAAAACGAAACAAACAAAACCCCCACCTTTTCACTGCTGGTACCCACACTTTACTCTAGAAATGCATGTGTTATTGTGTCCCTCAGATTTTTCCCTTATTCTGAAGGTGGAAGTCACTCTCCATTTCTTTTGATTATTCTTTTAGCAATAATTAACATTATTAGTAATAACAACAGTAGCCCTAATAGCAGCAGCCACAGCTGTAGCTGCTTCACAAAGCTAAGTTTGTGTTTGTTTGTTTTTCTAGCAATCATTTTACATTTCAGACGCTTCTACTCCCATTTGACATTTAAGGACAGTACATATTTAGACTCAAATACTGACGCCCATCCTCACTGTAGACCTCTGTGCTCTCACTTTCAACTGTTTTATTTTTATTTTTTCCTGTTTCCTGTCCATATTATTTCCCTGTCTCTTTTGCAGATTAGCACAATTCATGGAAAGCAGTTTGGATTTTCCCCCTTTGGAGTGTCTTCTCTGAACTTTGATTTGCTCCATAATTCTGAGTCACTAGCCAGTGAGTGGCTAAGGACACCCCTCTCTGGCACTGGGACCTACACGTGTGTTTACCAGTCCTCAGAAAAGTCCTGAAGGTCCGAGTATGAAACACAGTGACACGACCGGGGAGTCCATTCGTTTAGTCACGGGAAATTTACTCCCGAGCATTTCAGTAATCACTTGTATGATTCTAGAATAAAAATGTTTCCCCCATCACAAGGCTGGGGAATGGATTTCAAGAGAAGTGCCCTTCTGTCAGGTACCATTTCTCAGCTGGGACTGAGGGGTGCTGACCCTTCCAGGAAGACAGGGACGGGGATGGCTTGTGTTTCCGCTGCACGTCCAGGGCCGGGAGCGGCCCCGGGAGCCTCGCCGGGGACTGGCGGGCTGGGGAAGGCGGCGGGAGGTCGTTGACCACCGGGGGCTGCAGAGGAAGGGGCGTACAAGCCCGTCCTCCCTGGCCGCACACTGGTGTGCCCAAGCGAGGGACGGGAGACCCGAGCTCCGGTGGGGCGGGGTCCCGGGGCTCCACGGCCGCCGCCCGGCCTTCCCCACGGACTGTACCTGAAGGAACAGCTCGTAAAGAATCTCTTCCCGCACTCGGGCCTCTAAATTGCCCACAAACACGGTCCTGTCAGCCTCCTCCTGAGCCGGGAACATCCCCGCGGGTCCGCAGCCGGGCGTGGAGGAGGTGCCAAGGACCCGCCCCTCGCTCCGCTTTCCTGCGCGGCTCCGCCAGGGCAGCGGAGCCGGAGGCGGGCGCGCGCAAGGGGCGGGGCGGGCGAGGCCACGCCCACACGCCACCGCGGGACACGCCCACCGCCCCGCAGCCCCGCCCCCACCTGGGCAGAGACGCCCGCGGCCGACCAGGTGGCTTTAGCAGAGTGCTTGGCACAGTGCCTGTCTTTTCCTGAGCAATAGTAATTACTGATTTTCGTTTTGTTTGTTTGTTTTGTTTTAAATTTTCAAGCAGAGTTTGAAATACAATGACCAGAAAGATGATTTAGGGTTGACTAACTTCACTAGGTATTACGCGAGAAGTTGTCTCCAAAGAGTAAATGGGTAGTTCAGTAACACTGGGAAGTTAAGTTATAAAATCTGAAGGAATGTCTGCATGCGTCGATACTGATACAAGAGAGGACTAAAATTAAAGTTTGTTTGTCTTTTAGGTGATCCTCAGATAGGTCTTCGACATTTTTTTGGGCTCCCAAAGGCCACTGACCTCGAGAGAACACCCTATATAAATGGATCTTTGGAGAATGTTCTCTGAGGGCCCTAAAGTCATTTTGGAAATATCACTCAGGAATAGGAAGAGGATTTGGTCTTTGATTAGTGGAGCGGTAGGAATTCATTTTGAATTCAGGAAGTGTACGTTCTGCTTGCTTGACTGATCAGAAAATTTCTTTCTAAAGAAAAGGAAACGGTTGAGAAATCTTACAGCAATGTTCAACATTCTCAGCCAGGAGGGAAAGGCAAATTAAAACTATTTTGAGATCTCATCTTAACCACAGTCACAAGGGCCAAGATCGATAAGACAAATGACAGAGCATGCTGGCAAAGGTGTAGTAGGGGGTAAACACTTATCCAAAGCCTGTGGGAGTGAAAACTGGCCCCGCCACTATGAAAATCATTGTGGTGGTTCCTTAGAAGATCTACCTCAAGATTTAGCTCTACTGCTCCAGCCTCTACCAAAAGGATTCTATGTCCTACTACATGGATAAAGGGTCATCCATGTTCATTGCTATTCTATTCATAATAGACAGAAAGTGGAGATAGTCTAGGTATCCATCAACAAGAGAATGGATAATGAAAATGTGGCACATGTTCACAATGGAATATTATTCAGCTGTTAAAAATGAAATTAGGAAATTCGCAGGTAAATAGAACAAACTAGAACTAGGAAGCAATCATCCTGCCTGAGGTAATCCATACACAAGAAGACAAATTGTGTATTGTATGTTTTCTCTTCTATGTGGATGTTAGCTTTCAGTATGCTGTAATCTGAATAATCGCAGAGGATCTTACAAGGAAGGGGAAATAGAATATGATGTTATCTAGAGTTAAAGGAGAAACCAGAAAATAATTGTTAAATAGGGAACAGCTAGAGGGCAGGATACAGGAGGGACTATGGTCGGGGTAACTAGCACCAAAGGCCATTTGAAAAACTGTATGGAAACCTACTACTGTAGAAATTTTCTAAAATATATACAAATGTGAAATACATTTAAATTGTCACCAAATAGAAGGGGGGATAATGCTACAACTAGACATCTCATCCCACCAAATAAAACCCTCAGATCCGGGGATGGATTACAGCTTGTTGAGTCACTGAGGACAGAGGTCTCTAAATGTTCCCCCCAGATCACAGGCTTTGCCAAGGCTATTGGTTTCTCTCCACGGCTTGATGGTAAGGTCTTATTGCTGAAGGCAACATTCATATCATCATATGCAGAGAAGCTTAGCCGGTACCCAGATAGATGCTTCACCCCTTCTGAAGAGCATTCACAGTACTGAAAGTTACTCTGTAGATTGCTAGAGGAAAAAGGTATTCATCAGTATCACCTAGCTACAAAACCTGTGTCCTACAGCAGTGAACTGCTCACAGATATACTGGTGCAATAGAAGCTCCTACGCTGTGGTAGTAAACAAGCACCTTTGATTGATTTCAGGAGAACCTCATGAGATGGGCACCAACACCGTTAAAGTGACCAAGCACCTCAGATTGCATAGCTCCTGAACCTAGGGAGAAACATGCTACTTTTAATGTGCTAAGGCAAGATAGCAACTAAATGATACCAGATGACATATTGCGATACCCTTTTTTTATATAGTAGATGGGAGTTTAACACAGAGACCCACTACTAGACAATGTTCAGAGAGTCAGAGACTTGATAGCAGTCAGTCCTAAATAAGACATGTTTGAAAGCCGCTCCACATAGAGGCTCATCCCTCTATGAGGCAGAGGAGAAGGAACCAGCATCATCCATATACAATAGGGACTGACACACATATGAAATCAAGCAACTGTAGGAGCATGCAAAGGACTTGTACAAGCCCAAACTAAATGGATCCCAGCACTAAGACATGTTGACATGGTCCCACGCCTAAACAAGAAGGTATTTGCAATTAACACTTGTTAGCAAAGGAAATTTCAGTTTTCTCTAAAGGATTATCACTGGGTATACCATCCACCTCTCCAAGGAGAGTCCTATGCCAGGAAGTAATTGACCAAAACAAAACAAACTTCATTTGGAGGTGGGTAGGCTTTATGTTTTGTTTTGTTTTTTTTTTTTTTTTTTTTTTTTTTGGTAATGTATGTTTTATAATTTTTAATTTTTTTGTTGTTTTATATGTTTACATATATTTTCTGAAATAGATCATGAAGTTGAGTGTGTAGGGAAGTAGGGGAGATCTGGGAGGAGATCGGGAGGAGAAAACATTATTAAAATATAGTGCATGAAAATATTTTAACAAAAAATGTACATTTTTAGAAAACCTTATTCTCTTTTAATTCTGACATATTTAGTTGTGTGTGTTGGGAAAATAATCTGACTTTGGTATTTGGAGTGTTTTTTTAAGAAATAGATTGGACCAAATTGAATTATTTTATCCAATATTTATTTTTTTAATTGCTTCTAAGATGTCAAGAACTGTTTTTAGTGTTGGGCAAAAAAGCTCAATATAGAAATCTGAATAGTGGGAGAGGCCAGTTTCATCTAAACAATGTAGGTGCTAGTAGATTTAGTTGTTACTTTTGTTTACTTTGATTTTTATTTCTCAAGTGAATATGAATATTGTGTTTCTTTCTTCCCTTTATTATCCAAATAAATAGAGTACAGTAAGAAGTTTAGAGAAGTTCATGATAAATAGCAAATATAGACTTGCTATTTATCAAATGAACAACATCTGAAACTTTCTGTTCTGTATATGTCTCTTACATATTTGTTCTCGTTTTTTTTCATAAATCTAACCCAAACCAAGATACTTTTCCATAACATTATAAATATTGTTTTTCACATAAGTACAAATGTTATAAAACTTTGTGTTTCCAAATAATTAAAGAGTGTATTGTTATATGAAATTTGTATTATTTGTATGCAAATGTGAATATTCTTAGTTTTAACACATTCTATGCTCTTTTGGCTTTATATGCATTTATGATATATGTTTTTTAGAGTTCTTATTCACCGTTCTGAAATTCAACCCATGCACTGGGATATTTACTCAGAATTCGATCTCAACAGGTAAAGTTTTTTTTTCATGCAAATACATTATATTTTTTAACACATGTTCTTTTTACATTAGTGTTTACTAGCCTATTAGTCACATATGAAGTGTTCATGTGAGTACATGCAAAACTCTGTAAAGAAATAGACTGTCTTTACCAGAATTTTTTTTTAGATTTTATTTTATTCTTATCAGTTACATTTTATTAACTCTGTATCCCAGCTGTATCCCACTCCCTCATTCCATCCCAATCCCACCCTCCCTCCCTCATCTCCACCCTGCCCCTTTCCAAGTCCACTGATAGGGGGGGGACCTCCTCCCCATTCATCCAATCCTGTTTATCAGGTATCTTCAGGGCTGGCTGCAAAGTCCTCCTCTGTGGCCTAACAGGACTGCTCCTCCCTTGGGGAGTGGGGAGGTCAAAGAGCCTGCCATTGAGTTCCTGTTAGAAATAGTTCTTGTTCCCCTTATTATGGGAAATCAATTGGTTACTAAGCTTCCACGGGCTACATCTGAGCAGAGTTCTAGGTTATATCCATACATGGTCCTTGGTTGAATGTCAGTCTCTGAGAAGACCCTGTGCCCAGATATATTTGGTCCTTGTGGAGCTCCTATCCTTTCCCCATCATACTAACTCCCCTTCTTTCATATGATTCCCTGTACTCTGCTGAAGGTTTGGTTATGAGTCTTTGTATCTGCTTTGAAAACACTGCTAGTTAGAGTCTTTCAGATGCCTTCAGTAGACTCCTGTCATACGTTCAATGCACATCCCATCTGTCTTTCTAAATGAGGATTGATCATCTTACCCCATGTCTGCTCTCTTGATTATCTTTTTTAGGTGTATAGATTTCATTATGTTTATCATATCTTATAGGTCTACTTTAAGCAAGTATATACCGTGTTTGTCTTTCTCCTTCTCGGATATTTCACTCAAAATGATCTTTTCTAGATCCCACCATTTGCCTGCAAATTTCATGATTTCCTCCTTTTTGATTGCTGAGTACTATTCCTTGTGTAAAAATACCAGAATTTTTTTATACTTCTATTTGTATGAACATACCAAAGTATAAAATATACATATATATATGAATATGGACTTGTGTGTATATACATAAGTAGAAGTAGACAAACAGATGGACAACTAGTTATATAAATAGATATGCAGATTTCGAATTCCACTTTAGTAGGTTAGCCCAGAGAGTGTGTTCTCCTGAGATTTTCTCTACTGTGTAATCTCGAGTGTCAGGCTGCCTTCTCTATGCAGAAGTGTAATTCTCCAGTTACATTTTTCAAGCCCTCCTTATTGTGAACTTCTGTTGTATACTTAAACATAAGCACCCGAGACAAACTCTGACACATCTGTGACTATATGACAACAATCTGTTGAAATGGTACCCTTGAAGAAATGAGCATCGTGATAGTGTATTCCCAAAACTAAGTGGACAGAGATAAGTAGGAGCTTAGTAAAAGTTGTGTAAATAAA